CCTGCTGGGGGAGGTGCTGGAGTGCACCATCGTCTTCCCCAACCCGCTCTCGGCCGCCTCCACCTCCGCCTCCAGGTACCCCCGCCCGGGGGGGGCGGGCCAACACCCCCCAGCCCCGCCCCGCCCCACAGTGCCCCCCTTTTGGGGTGCCGCGACACCCTGGGTACTGTGTCCCTGGCCTGCACAGCGCAGTCGTGGGGTGCCACGACCCCCCTGGGTACTGTATCCCCTGCCCCTTCCCCTGCCCTGCACAGCGCGGTCGTGGGGTGCTGGGCCCATGTAACCTGCCTGGCACTCCTGGCCTGTCCCTGACTGGGCCGTGGGGTCAGCTTCGTTTGCGGCTCGCTGTGTAAGAGCGGGGCGGTGGGACAGTCCTGCCGTGACGAGGGCCGGCAGCAGCCTGACAGGTCCTGGAGGAGGATCGCAACAGGGGAATGGTGCAGAACTGGCCTCGAAACCGGAGCGTCTGGTTGTGCCGGGCTTGCCATGTCACGCACAGGGGAGCTGCGCTGTTGTTGAACCGTCCCCGCTATGTAGAGCGAAGCTGATTTCTCCAACTCTGCACAAACAGCTCATTAAGCAATGCTGAGCTCTCTCTCGGCTGTGCTCGACGTGGCACAGCAGGTCCGAGCCACGGGGCCGAGACTTCGATCACCTTTGGGGACCTCAGCTAAGGGATGCGTATTCTCCTTTCCTCCATGCTCCAACCTCCCTGGACCCTCCATCCCTGGCCTCAGGATTGCTGTTCACAGGCAAAAAAAAAAATTGCAAACGAGTTTTAATGGAAAACGGGAACAGAAATCATCTCCAGACCGACTGCGTTAAGTCTGGTTTAGACAGGGACTAGGGATCCTTCTCTCATTACCTGGATTAACTTTGGTGACCCCCTTTGTCCTGGGGTTTCCTGCTTGTTTGCTTTTCTCTCCTAGCACCTCCCCTGCCATCTCCTCTCCCCTCCCCTGTTTTTTGTTATTCCAATTTCTCTGTCTGTGTTGCACCCTGCTTTCTGCACCCCCGTCCACGCACAGCATTTGGAGAGGTTACCACAAGAACTTGCGGAAGCTTGTGCTCTCCTTATATATTTGATTTAGTTAGTCTATAAAGCTGCATCTCTACCCTGCCTTCTGACTGTAGGTACTTGAGGTCCAAGGGGAACTGAATCACTAGCAAAAGTGGAGCAGACAAAGCTACAAGAAGCCCTCGGTTGGGAAGCGAGTCTGGCAAAGACCTAGAGAGGTGCAGCCCTCTTCGCAAGCCCCTGGGAGTGTGCAGAGATGCAGGGAAGACAGACGGCGAAACCTTGCAGATGCACAGCATATCACAGTAAGCAAGAAGGGTCTGTGACCTGCTACCGCGGCAATCCTGGACTCCACCGCATGTGCTCACAGGAGAATGCCACTTGTTTAAAACAAACAAGAAAGTTTTTCCAGGAGTCCAGGTGTGATGATGAACCAACACATCCAGTGATGGCCAGGTTGAAGCATGGGCATTGCCCCAGTCAAGGAGATTCCCTAAAGAATGGGTGTTTGCAGGGTAACCAAATCTCGTGCTGCGCAATTGAAGGCTTCTAATCAAAGTGCCTGCCAAGGCAGGAGAACCTGATGCAAATGTACAAAGCAAGGTCAGAAAACAGGTTGGCCATGAGTGAGGCACTGGAGGCGCAATGCAGAGGTGCTCTGCTCAAGGGAGGTGTCTCACGCTAGCAAGAGTTGCGTTTTGTGGGAACGTATCCTCAGCGCTGATGCCGAATACGCTTAGAACTGTACAGCCAGGAGACCAAGCTCAGAGACAGGTGATGTGACCAGGAGGCCAAGCTCAGAGGCACATTGGTTTGAGATGCCAGAAAAAAACATGAACAAAGGGTTAATTTCCAAATAAAGCCTGGCACTGAATGCAGCAGGCTCCCAGGAAGCAGGTACAGGGCGCTCAGCGCTCTCACCGTGGAAGTCTGTGGCACGGGGCCTGCCACGGGAGACCCTCTATAAGAGCTGTGCTGGCGCTCCTGGACAAGGACCCATCCAGCCCAGCGGAGCTTGCAGGAACCGAACAGGAAGTCCCATGCATGCTGGGGATGAAGAGCAGCTTCCTGGCCAAATGGCGTGTACCTGCCCCGCAGGATAGGTTGCAGCCGTTTCCCATCGCCTCTGATCTTCGCTGCCATGCACTTGCATTTTCACAGACCTGCATTTTGCGCAGTGGCTTCTGTTCCACCCAGAAGAGCACGCACATACCAGCAGACTCTCCCTCTGCCTGAAGAAGGGTGTTTGTACCTGAAAGCTTGCAGAGAACAATTTTTCCAGCTATTTAGTTGGACTAATAAAAGCTATCACATTTACCCACAGAACCTTGTGTGCCAACAGTTTCCTCAATGAATCTGACTGGGTGTTTAGCCGCTCCGCTGAGAGATCCAGCACCACCTCATCCCTGCGCCACATCAGCTCCTGCTCCACTGAAGATGAAGTAAAAGCTGGTTCTTGACCAGGTGGTAAAGCTGGGTAATGTTGAGAGCCTCAGACACTGACTGGCGAAGCTAACAGCATGGCGGTTGTCACACGGTTTCATGTAGGTGCAGTGGATTTAAATGCGGCTGTAATGTGCAGCAACTCCTCCCTCCCTCCCTCACCCCCAGAGCGGCTGAGGATGTTGTACGGAGGTTCCAGCATACAAGCGACGTCGGTGCAGATCAGTGATTTCTGCAGATGTAGTGTCACGGAGAGAGAGAACCACACCTTCACCCCCCACCCCACCCTGGTAAGGGGCTGTTGGGTGAGTTCATCTCGGGGCTCCCTCAGCACTGGAAACGCAGTCGAGTGTCACGCCCCGGCTCGTTGAGACTGTGCCTAGGTCAGGAGTAACCATTGATGGGCTGCTCATTCGAGGGGGCTGAGCCCCACAGCGAGAGACTGGGTTGTGTTCCTCGATATTTCAGAGAAGAGAACCTGGAATCTGAAGGGACGACGGCCGAGGTGAGCTGACCGAGGTGAGAGCCCTGTAAGACGCACACCCTAACGAGGGAGGGCAGTCAGGCCCGAGGACAGCGGAGGCAGTGGACAAACAAAGACCCCAAGGAAGGAGGGCTCTTGGGGTGTATGGGTTTGGTGACCTTTCTCAGGAAGCCACACCAGGGTTTTCAGTTAAGCTCAGGATCCTGCTAGAAGGTGGTGCCACACGATGCTGCAGCGTGTGCTGAGGAAGGAGATTTTGGCCACTGAAAAAGAAGATGCCGGAGGAGCATCTATCCCGAAACCATCTGAGGTTGTCCAGGAGCCTGGCAGGTGTCCGTGAATCCAGACTTATGTTTTCCTGCCTGGCCTTTTGCAGGATGTTTCTCCCAGAGATTTGTTTCCCAAGCAGTAGCTAAAGCACAAGGTGGGGGGACTGTGCTCAGTTTGGAAACAAAGGATGGCATCAGTTGTGGTGCTTTCTGTTTAGCGTATTTGTGGACAGCCCTTGGTGAAGGCAGAGGCAGGGAAGCCAGTCCTAGAGACGGCACCGCTGTGCAATGTGCCCCTGGAAGTCAGAGGAGGCCTTGGCACCTTCAAGCACGTGAAAGGGTTTGTGCTGAGGTAGCCTACGGGGGGTCCTGGGCAGAGGACGCCATTCCTTGGCCACCTCGAGCTTCTCCTTGTCCGTGCAGCACCCAGGCACTGCCAGCGCCCCCTGCGTCACCTGGGCACGTTGGGCCGTTCTCAGTGGCTTGGGGCCTTGTGTCTGGGAGTTGTGCAAAAGGGGCATTCGTGCAGTTTTCATAGGTTAGACCAGCGATTCTCAGCCAGGTGCCCTGGCACCCTGCAGTGCCTTGAGATCCTTTCAGGGGTGCTGCGGGGTGCCTCGCAATGATAGCCCTGTGAGGTGAGCAAGCATGAGTCACAGGGTAAGCGCAGAGATCTCAGATAGGACTCCAAAGCATTCAGACCTGTTCTGCATCCTCTGCAGCAGAAGAATTGTTCTGTTATTTTTCTGTGGTCCAAACATAAGTGAAAACAAAGAGCTGGCCTCTTCCGAGGGGTGCCCTCAGTCCAAAAAGGTTGAGAGCCACTGGGTTAGACAGACGCTTATCTGGGGTGGTTCAGACAGGGTTACTCCTGCCTTGAGCAGGTGCCTTACATAACAGAGAGGCCTGCCTTGAGCAGGGTTTTTTGGCTACAAATGTCCAACTCAGGATCCTTAAAATTCTGGTTTATTAGGTGGATTGAAACACTGTAATGAAGTTAAATCATAAACCTTGGGGCTGGTCCCCACACACACAGTAGCGAGCTACAAGAGTCAGGTATACCTATCCCACAGGCGCTCGGGTCTGCCATCAAGGCTTCTTCCAGCGTGGTATTATCTTCCAGAAGGAGGTCACCGGCTGGTCCTTCTGGCTGTACAGGTCCGGTGCTGGTCAAGTGGGTGCTGCTGAGGGTCACTTTTCACTGCTTTTTATCTGTCCTTGGCAGACTTTGGTGACTCCCCAGTTTTCAGGTTTGCCCAATCCAGGGGTCGTTGACCCTCGTGGGACTTCCCCCTCAGCGGCTACTGGATGGCATCTGTCAGCCACAGGGGTCGTCTGCACGTACGTGCAGGTTTGGGAGTCCGTTGATTAATTTTGAATAGGGCTCTGGGAGCGGTCGAGCTGGAGATATTCATCCCAAAAGTTGGTCCCCAACATTGATTAACTCAGGCCAGGGCTTCTAGCCCTTGAACAGTGATGTTTAGAGGTTTCCCAGTTGCTACATTGCCTTCTATTGATTTCTTCTGTTGGTTGAGCTGCGGTTTCCCTAGGTGTTAATTGTTGCCTGCTACTGTGTTACGCATTCAATCACCAATTCGCTGCTCTTTCAGGGGCCAGCCTGATACAGGGAAGCAGGGTTTGACTCCTGCCCTTGTTAACATTGTTACAATGTATAACTTACTTCTGAAACTAAACACATTTCCTTGAAAGGTGAGTATAAAATATAAGCTACAAAAGTAATGCCATGGCACACAAATAGATAAAAATACCAAAATACAAGGGGAGATACAAAATGCGCGCACACAAATTTTAAAACACAATTCCTTATCCTGAAGTGAAAAAAGAGGAAGGAAGAAAAGGTAGAAGAGGAAAAACATATCCAAAGAGGGGAGAGCAACTGCAGGCAAGAGGAAAAGGGGGCTTTCTGCTACAGGCTGGATTAGCCAAGACCGCCCGAGGGCCCTGCCGACCTAGCCGTTCCACAGTTCAATGCCAAGTGCAATCTGCAGCACGCTTTCTGCGCATCGGGAGGTGCAAGAGCAGTGTCTGAGACGCCCAGCATGGCCTGGCCTGGCCCTGCCAGCCACGAAGGCTGCCAAGTACAGAGTGCTGAAGGGGTAGGATTCACACGCGGAAATCTGCAGGGCATGGGAAGCTGAAGCAGCAGTCAGCGGCCTACAGACTGCGGAGCTGTTTGATATGACCCACAATGTGGGAGTTTGGTGGCTTGGGCACTGGGGGGTGGCCTCTGGCAGTGGTGGCAGGAGCATCCCTCATGCTGCCGCAGGAAGAAAGGCAGTGACAGCCGGCCGGGTCCTAGCACTTGCCCACCTCTGAGCCGAGCGGGGTCACCCCAACCCACAGCCGAGAGAGGTGGCCGACTGCCGTGCTAGGCAAACACCAGAGCGGCACACGGGCCTCGGTGCCCTGGTCTGAGATTGGGGCTGAACTGAGCGGGCAAGAGCCTCTTGCTGGCAGGCTGCAAGGCTCTTTGCTGTGTCGCTGCCCAGCTCCCAGCACACTGAATGCTCCCCGCAGGGTCCTGCTCGTTAACGAGGAGCAGCTCCCGGGTCTGCAGTGTCTCGTTCTGGGCACCATGCAAGCTTTTACAGGCTGCTGGGGTGGCAGGAACATCGCAGCAGCGGGCTGAGACCATAAGTAAGGAGGAACGTGCCTGGTAGCTTCAAGGGAACCTGGCTTAGCAGTGCTGCTCCAGCACCACTTGCTGTACCGCTCGTGTCACCGGTTTGGGCTCTGTGGGCAGAGAGAGAAAATCTGAGGGTGTTTTCTGCACAGCGTCTGGAACCAGAGAGCAGTGGTGCGGGGGCCAAGGCAGCTGGCCTGGAAGAGGTGCAGTGGCAAGGAAGGCCAAGCCTGTTTGCCATGCAACGATCCCTCCTGCTCCTCTGGGCTGTGCAGAGAAAGCCTCCAGCAGCGCACTGTGGTAGCAGGTGTAGCACGCCAGCACTGCTCCCGGGACCCCTCGGGGTGGCGAGGGAGGGAAGGTGTCTAGCCAAAGGCAGGAGTACTCCGGCCCTGCTCTTGCAACCCGCCCCCTCCGTGACGCTCAGGCCAGGGCAGGAGGCAGCCATTTGGGGAAGGGGCCGTGCACTCATCACTACCAATGGGTTTCTGGTCCTCTGACCTGCGTGAGCGCACGGGTGCTCACCTGGAGCCAGGGTTGGAGGTGTCACTGGTTAATACTGTGCTCCACCTGTGCTGAAGGAAAGGGTGGCTCTGAGACCTTCCCTGCATCCTGCAGCTTCTGCTTCTGCCCTGCGTCTCGGTGCTGCCTTCTGTAATCAGACCCGTGCCACGTGATCGTGGTGGAAAGAGAAATGAGGGTCAGTCTCCACCTACCCCCCCTGCATCTGGTCCTTTGTCCCCGCTCCCTGGGCTCTTGCAGGGTGTATTGCTGACACAGGTCGGAGGTGACCACATGGCTGGACTTGGGACACAGTCATGTGGGGAGACACCTGAGCCATCAGGACTGGGACCGAAAGGCCCTTTCCCAGCCAGGGGCCAGAGCCCTCGGCAGAGAGGCACAGCTGGAAGGGCTGTGGCTGTGTGGACGTTCCAGGCCCACCTGCCCTCTGGACCCATCTGGCTGTCAGTGTCTCACTGCCCTTCTCTCTCCTCTCTCCCCAGTGAGATGCTTGCATGGGCCAGTGCCCAGATTCACTGCCAGTTCCATGCCAGCGAGAACCGGGTGGCACTGCCTCCCTCAGACGACAGCAAGCATGATGTGCAGGCCGAGAATGAGACCGTCTTCGTCCCCAACAGAGGTGAGCACAGGCAGTAGATGAAGAAACCCCCTTCCCACCTGGTAGGATTCCCTGGGCCGACGTTTCTGCAGGAGCCTTTGGAAGTGGGTGATGAGACGAGGGGAGGCAGCCCTGCTGGGCCTAGAGCACGAGGTTCCAGGTCGCAGGGTCTTGCCCCCCGGTTCAGGGTCAGCCTGAGCGCTGCACTGGGGGTCAGGAAGGGATTTTCCCCCTGGTCAGATTGATACGGACTGGGGGTGGCAGTTGGCCTTCCTCTGCAGCAGGGAACATAGCCTCTTCCTTGGACTTTTGAGTGCATTTAAGCACCCCTTGCAGTGGCAGGACACTGCCAGCCTCCATGTCCCTGCTTTACCTGGGGCAGATTTGGGGGCTCTTGGGGTCTTTGAGCTTCGTAGTTACGTGTTGTGAAGGGTTAGGAATAAGTTAGATGAGGACATGTCTGGGATGTTACGAACAGGTTTGATCCTGCCTCGAGCAAGGTTGGACTGGCTGTGACCTCTGGAGGGCCCTGCCGGCTGGACTGTTCTATGATTCTGTGAATAACACAGGCAGGGGCACTGACATTAAAGTACAAGGGCCATCAATCCTGCTGCTTTTGCCCATTCCTCCACCCGTCAAGAAGTGGAGATGAAATCCCATTCCCCAGGCCATTGGTGAGAGCTCAGCACAGCTGGCTGGGGCATGGTGTGGTCCTGGCACCTTCCCCAGGGAGCTGCTCTGCCGCTGTGCAGCTGTTATCCTGTCCTTCCCTTGCAGGAGAGAGAGGCCAGTGCATCCTGTCCACTCCCCCCAAGATCCTCTTCTGTGACCTGCGGCTGGATCCTGGAGAATCAAAGTCCTGTAAGCTCCATGTCCGCTCTCGTGGGAGGAGGTGGGGGCGGGGGAAGAGGACTCTGCAGCCAGCATCTGTGCAGCCATGAGACACGCACGGTCTTTGCTTGGACTCTAGACCAGCTCTTGACTGGGTCATTCCTTGCTCAGAGCCGGAGCTGAACCGTGCAGGGGCAGACAGGCGGGCTGGCGCACCAACATGCGGTTCCCTGCCTGTTTCTCACTGCAGTGTAGTGTTCGTGGGCAGAGGCTCAGGCCTTCTGGGGTCCTGGATCCCCCTCTGCTCCGGACCGTGGAGTCTGCCTCTGCTGTAGGTTAGTTCCCGTAACTCTCCCCTGTTCCACAGGTAAACAGGGTCCCTGTGCAATGGGGGCAAGCCTTTCCAATCCCCACTTCTGCCCCAGCTTTGTTCATCCCTTTGCAGCCTCTGCACTGGTGCCTTGGCCCCTTCGTACCCTGCATGGATTTTCCATTCCCCGCTTTTTCCCCTCTGCTGGTGGAGCTTGTTCCTCCAGGTGCTGCCAGCCTCTCGTCCCCGGGACTTCCCTGCAGCAAGTCTGCTGTTGTCTGGATCTGCCAGGAGTTCAGGGCACAATTGCTGCCATCCCAGTGGTCCATGAGGCCACAGCCCTGTTTGTGCTAGAAGTGGCAGGTTGTATGCCGACAGGGCTGCCCAGGCAAAGGTTTTCTCGGCAGGTCGAGGCGGTTGCCCAAGCGTTGAGTTATTGGCTCAGGTTTTCGCCGCTGGGAAGAGCTGTCATGGGGAGGGTTAGACAGTGTCTCCTGGGAGCCAGCGTGAAGCTGCTATTCCCACAGAGCCACACTGCTTATGGCCCCCCAGACGGGGCTGGGCCAAGCCCTGGACAACAGGCCCTGGGGCCTGGCCTGCCATGGCCCAGGGAGCAGCCAAGATGAGGCTACAGAAGAAATGTGGGCAAGTTGGAGAGTCCAGGGGAGGACAGTGAAAATGGTTGTGGGGTTGGGGCACATGACTAGTGAGGAGAGGCTGAGGGACCTGGGCTGACTGAGTCTGCAGAAGAGAAGACCGAGGGGGATTGAATAGCAGCCTTCACCTCCCTGCAGCGGGGCTGCAAAGAGGATGGAGCTGGGCTGGTCTCAGTGGAGGCAGATGACAGGACAAGGAGCAATGGGCTCAAGCTGCAGCAAAGGAAGTTGAGGTTAATTATGAGGGAAAAACCTCTCATGAGGAGGGTCGTAAAGCACCAGAACAGGCTCCCCAGAGAGGTGGGAAATCTCCATCCTTGGAGGTTTTGAAGACCTGGGTAGACAAAGCCTTGGCTGGGATGATCTAGGTGGGGCTGGTCCTGCTTTTAGCAGGGGGTTGGACTGGATGTGACCTCCTGAGCTCCCTTCAACCCTCGTTGTCTGCGATTTTTTGTTTCATAGTGTCATAGTTGGTAGCGTCAGAAGGGACCTGAGCAGGTCATCAAGTCCAACCCCCTGCCATGGGCAGGACAGGATGCGG